TACACTTACACAAAGTTAGTAGGTCCCATGTCGGAGGTCAGGACACAGTTTGCAGGTTAAGAAGAAGGATAAAGATCGGAAAAGGAGCAAGCTATTCTCCATCAGGTATACAGGGAAGGGACTTCTAATAAGGTGACCTTTGAGCAAAGACTTGAAGGAAGTGAGGGGGTGAGCAGGAAGTGATGGAATGAGCCATGTGGGGGTCTGAAAAATCGCATCCCAGTAAGGCCAGAGGCCACCAGGCAGGAGTTTGCCTCAGGTGAGAAGCAGCAGGGGCTGGAGGGGCTGGAGCAGAGAGAGCCAGGAGGGAGTGGTTAGGAGCGGATCAGGTTGGGGGAGGGCCATCCTGGAGTAGGGGGTGGGGCATCTTAGGGACCATGCCAAGGAGTTGAGATGTTATTCAGTGTGAGATGGACAGCCATTGGAAGTTTTGGAAGAGTGGTCCTTTTCAAATACTTGAAAAACCAGAGTATAGGTATGAAGTCGGGAAAATGGGACACAGTGCTTCCTTCACTTGGAGAGAACATGAACTGTTGTAATCAGGATTGAACTGTCAGAACTTTAATTCACCCAAAGTGGGGAGTAAAACAGAAATCATGGTTCTGCACAAAGAAATACTGGCAAGGGTGTAGAGAAAAGGGAACCCTCTTCCACTCTTGGTGGGAATGTAAATTGGTGCAGCCACTGTGAAAAAGAGTAGGGAGATTCCTCAAAAAACTAAAAATAGAACTACCGTATAATCAGCAATTCCACTCCTGGGAATATATCCAAAGAAAACGAAAACACTAATTCGAAAAGATACATGCACCCCAATGTTCATAGTAGCATTACTTACAATAGCTAAGATATGGAAGCAACCTAAGTGTCCATCAGCAGATGAATGGATAAAGAAGATGTGGTACATATTTACAACGGAATATTACTCAGCCATAAAAAGAATGAAACACTGCCATTTGCAGGAATGTCGATGGACCTAGAGGTTATTATACTTAGTGAAATAAGTCAGACAGAGAAAGACAAATACTGTATGTTATCACTTATATGTGGAATCTAAAAAATAAAACGAATGAATACAACAACACAGAAACATCACAGAAACAGAGAACAAACTAGTGGTTACCAGTGGGGAGAGGCAAGGGAGGGGCAAGATAGGAGTAGAGGACTGAGATAGAAACTACTACACATAAAAGAAATAAGCAATAAGAATATATTGTACAGCACAGGGAAATATAGCCGATTTTGTAATAGCTTTAAATGGAGTATAATCCATAAAAATATTGAATCACTATGTTGTACACTTGAAACTAATACAATAATGTAAATCAACTATATAAAAAAAAAAGAAATGGTTTTGCTTGGCCTTGCGGTAAAAATCACACATGCTTTTTCAATTAGGATAAAACTGAGTAACCATGAGGCATTTACTCAACTGGCAACAATACTTTTCATGGAGAAGCCCAACTATTACATTCAGTGATCTGTGTCCTGCTAAGTCTCTTCCCCGGCAGGATTCTGGGTATGCTACAGCTGTGAGTGAGGCCCACCCCGCCACCCACCCCAGCATTACTGCTGTTGTTGAGCAGCCGCGCCCCCCCTCAGCATTACTGCTGTTGTTGAGCAGCCGCGCCACCCCCCCCCAGCATTACTGCTGTTGTTGAGTAGATGAGTGTGAGCTTCAGAGTCCAAGAGCAGCTGGTGGATACTTGGGATCAGATTCTAGGAGGTTTCCATGACCCACTTTGCTCTCAGTGGACCCAGAGTCACTCTTGCTGTTTTCCACTCACAGACGACTGGCTCAAGTCTAGAGCTGTGGGGAGCGTGGGCTTGACTAATGGGCCGAAGTTACAGGGAGGGAGTGTGATTTTGGCTCCTGGTGAGGTATTCCTTCCTAAAAGTGAGGGCAATGGAGAACTGGAGGGGGCTCTGCCACAAAGGGACCCTCCTGCCTCCGAATGTCTTCAGGCAGGTGAGCACATCTTAGGAATGTTCCTGAAAGGACTCCTGCTTTGTGTGGTATGTTGGACTAGAATGACCTCGCGGATTCATTCCAATGCAAGACACTTCTGAGCCCATGAAAAAGTGTCCAGTGAATGTGTTCTGCAAACACACAGACACTCTGTAAACATGAGGCACATATTTTAAAAGATGAAGAGTGAGATACTTGTTCTGGGAGTACGGTGGTTGGAACTTGGTGCCTTGACAAAATACCTTCCGTGCTTAGTTGCCTGTAGTTTGTTCTCCTTGGCCCAGGACACAGATATCTGCATTATGTGTTAAAAATGCCCTCAGCCAAAGACCAAACAAATAGCCAAAGGCATTTTCCTATCAGGGCCCCTTTATAGGAGGTAGAGCAAAAGAACAAAGCAGTGGAGTTTGATTCGAGGTCTAGCTCCAGTATTTACATGGAAGAAAGAGGAGGGATTTTTAGCTGAGATTAAGTTAGAATTAAAGCAACAGAAAACTTAACACTAAACTAAAGCATCCTCTGGGATCCATAACGGAAAGGCAGAAACAAGGGGATATTTTCGGGCTCTCTGATGATTTTTTTTTTTTTTAAGTTCAAATATGAAACCTTTTAAAAGGTGCCCAAAGCAGAGATAACAGAATGGCCTTGATTAGTGATCCAGGATCACCCACTATTTGAGCTGGACCACCTGTCCTTTAGCGGCCATTGAATCTCATCCCTCGATTTACAGATAATGGGTCAGGGGCCTTGGAACTTGAAGACTTCCCAACATCACACAACTGGCCGTGGAAGTTCTGGAGCTAGCATCCAAGACTTCTGACAACTCTTTTGTGTTTTGGGCCACTTTACCAGAGGAGCAAACAATTAGAAGCTCTGTTTCCTAAGAGCCAGGGGCAGATGGCCACAATGACTGTGTTCTGAATAGGCAGTGCCTTCAGTTTCCCAGGATGTGGGCTCGTCCTGTGCCCAGTGGTGCCTGCAACCTCAAGCTTAGTGCAGCACAGCTGGGGGTCTCTGGGCCCACCCCCAGGAGTAGGGGCTGAGATCCCGCTGTGAGAGGTCTCAGAGGCCTGCTCCCGCTGGAGGCCCAGTCAGGTGTGAATGGGTCCTACAATCTCGTGAGACTGCAGTGGTCAGTGTCCTACTGAACCCCTCACACAATCTCCGCAGTGCCCCAGTGGCATTGTGGGTGCTCTTGTTTGGCTTCCTGTGCTGACTGGGGTTCTCTCCTCTTTGACAAAACCTGAACACGTTGGAGCTGCCTTTAAGCATCGGTACTCTTTTTACATAAAAGAGCTCCCATAAAAGAACAGCTCCTTCTGGCCCCCCATACCCAGGTAACTTTGTCTGTTGAAATCGCCAGCATTTCAGTGAGCTGTTGTCACTTGCTTCTGCAAGGGGTGGTGGAGAGTGGGGCTGGGTGAGTGACCTAAAGGGGCGTGGGGTTTCTGTGTGTGTCTCCAAGTGAACCAATGAGATGTTCAGTATCATTCTTTTGACCTTTCATTCACTTACTCACTCATTTATTCATTTTCTTGTTTGTTTACATTCTGAGTCTGACCAAAAAAAAAAGTTGGACAAAACTTAGAACAAAAAGTACACATATGCTATATATAAAATATAAATGAAGTCAGGTCACTTGCTTAGAAGGAGGAAGCAGATTTCATCCATGAATTATATGAAATCTATGGTAAATATCAAGCTTTTCTCTGACTTTTCTGGCAACCAAGACACATAATTCCTAGTTATCAGAAAGGGGGAAAAATCCAATTTCTTTAAGAGACTAAGTGTTGCTATTCTGGGGCTCATGTCATCACTTAATACAAAGCTGCTGGTCCAAGGCACGTCCCTCCCTCCCCCACCCAGTGTCCTAGCATCAGGCCACCTGGAGCACCCCCCAAAAAACACGTTCTCAGTATGTGTGAGGGTGTGGCTTGGGGCAATGGGGTTTCATTTAGGTCTTGAAATTATGTTGTCCGGGGTGACTTTAGGATTTGCAAATTATGAAGCCAGGGGTAGGAATTTTAGGGGGGGTCAGAATCTAGTCCCACTGTGCATACCCACTCTCCAGCAACGTACCTTTCCTTTGCCCCAAAGAGCCCTAGGTAGATCCCTTCTGTGGCCCTGTTTTAGGTGTTTTAGGTGTCAAGGTGCTTTCTTGAACAGGACATCCAGAGGGAATAGAGTTTGGCAGAACGCACTTTGAGGAATGTTGGCTCAAAGGATTAGAAGATGGTATGACGAAAGGGGCGAATGGAACTAGTGGTCATATAGACATGTAGGGTTTAGGAACTAATATTATAGGCATATAAGGTGAATACTACTGAAGTCCCACCCTGAGCTCCTAAACTCCTAAACTCTGAAGTTGTACCAGGAATTTAATTTCTTCCAGAAGAAGAAAGAGCCAGTGTTGAGATTCCCATTCCTTTACATACTATGAAAACATGAATTAACTCCATCCTCCCAAGACTTGGGATTTGTCAGGGGATACACCAGAACACTCTAGAACTTGTGAGTATGGCAGGGAAAAGAATTACAGAAATGTTGGACTTTTGTAATAGATGATGTGAGAAAGAAAACACTAGAAAAGTAGTCCCTTCTGTCTGGGGTTCAGATGAGTTACCTGAGTGTCTACTGAAAGTTTATTTTCCATGTAAGCGCATTCATACATTGCACATTCATCATTCATAGATGCCTGTGTTTTAGAATGCATCATTACTAAAGAAAGGAGTATTTCCAAGTGAGAAGTAGCCTTGGTGCTCCATAGTTGATACAGGATAATGTGTCTGGATTCTTGGCCACATTCCGTTATTTGGAAGACGAGGCTCAGTGGCTGAGCTTCAGGTCTTGGGCTAGGGTTATTTGCCCTGTCCTAATTATGTTGATTCCAATCACGTGGTTTGCTAGGCAACCAGAAAAACTGGGGTTTGAGCCTCAAGTCAACAGAATGAATATGCTCAATTCTACTTGAAATGTTTTTCATAATTATTTTAAGCAATGACTTGATTCTTACTTGTGCTTATTTTTTTAAAAGTATTAGAAAGGAAGATTTCTACAAGACAAAGTAGAGAGGAGCTGATAAGAAGGGGAGTTCTTAAGGAATTGCCTGATCAAGGTGAGGAAATTAATCATACATTTAAAATAATTTGATCCTTCCTTCTTTGGTCTTTCTTTCATTTTCTTTTGAAATTTAAGATGATCATGGTCTTTGGGAAATAAAGTACCACACTCTGAGAATCTTGCTTTAATTCAGAATGCCTTTGTGGGCTGCAGAGAATCTAAGGTTTTCTAGAGAAAGAATTCAATGACCTTTTTGGTGAGTCCTTCATCATATGTCACCCTAAACCTAAAGCTTTACAAAGCTACTCTGTGGCAGGAGATACAGATAAGATACAAATGCTTACATGATTCATTCTCTATTCTTGAGCTTCAATCTGTCTATACAAGTAAACTCAATTGTTTAAGTAAATGCAAAGTTTTAGCTTGGCTCATGCCTTTTGGTTTCTTAAGTCTACCAGTAAAAGAGAAGAGTGAGAAAAGAGATGGTAAACAGACCTCTCGTCCTTTATACTCTGTAATACACTCAAATGTACGGTCAATAAGGATTAATGGGCAAATTAAATTAATCTGCTTTATGTGTTCTCTCAAGTAATTTTCCCAGCATTGTTCTCTTTTCATTTCTTTGGATCTAGCTCTGTCTCACCATATCACTAACAATTATTATTTCCAAGTGTTTTTCCCCCAACCTCTAATCTTCTTCCCTTTTTTCCTCTATCCTCCCAGGGGGGAATCTTTCTCAAAAAGACAAGGATTAGATAGAAACTGAGATAGACCCTCAAAAGAAATACCAAGATGGTTATTTCTCCAAATAAATAGTACTGAATGATTTTCATTGCTCCCACTACTATAAAACTAAAGGAAATTTTTGTTGCAACATTGCTGACTTACCTCATGCCTTTCCTCACCCCACCCCTCTAAACATTTACGGGGGTAAAATATTATTATTGTGCTTTTATAGGCACAAATAAAATGCTGTTGATTTGGAATTGAAATAATAGTTCTTCTCATTTCCTGATATATATTCCTTGCTAAGAGCTTAACCTCTTTAGGCATTCACTATTTGTAAGTCCAAATGCCACGCTTTTCCCAGCATCTGAATATTCTAGAAGGAGCTAGGAGATGCTTTACTATTGTACTCCTGCAGAGAAAGTAGGGACGTCTGGAGTGAATACTGACATTTTTCTTGAGCCCTCAAAATTTTAGGTATTTTATTTATTGTACTTTTCTCACTCCATTTTATGAAGGAACTTAAAGTAGTCCCTAGTTTTCTATTACCTTGAAGCTAGTCATTTCCTTCCTGGGACTTTTAGAAATAAAAAGTGTACATCCTTAACATTTTTTGTACTTGAAGGTGGGCTTGCTACTGGTATCAAAGTTTGCTTCCTCCCTAATCTCCCTGGAGACGGCAGAGAAATTACATGTCCACTGAAAGCTCAATGCTGGGCCATCACCTTTATAGCGTGGGCCAGTGCACTGTTTTGGTGTCCTTTATTTGGAAACCTTTTCAAAGAAAGGAAACATTTCTGATCGAAACTGTTAATGAGTATTAAAGTTAGAGACTAAAGGCCTCTTTTTTTACCCAATTAAAAATTATAGCTAGAAAAGTGTTTACTTTTTCTAAAGACAAGTGGCAGTGGTCAGCTGAAAGAAATGCTTAATATTGCTTGGTTTTATTTTGCCTAATCTGTTAAACTATTTGCAAGATGGATTACAATTTCATATACTTACTTTCCAGAAATCTGACTCTATTGGATTTTTTTATTTAATGTTTGCAGACCGAACGTGAAAAGTTTTAAAACATAAAATAACAAAACAGTCTTTAACATAAACATAGTGTAGTAGGTTTAATGTTTGGGAAGTCATCAATTACTGAATCTTACTTTCTACTTTTTGCATGGTCCCTATATAGAACTACAGAAATTACCAAATACTTAGAAGTTCCCAGTGAGGCTTATTGTAAATAGAGCCCTTCCCCACTTTCAGCCAAGGGCTGGGGAAAATAGTTTTCTGTCATTTTTCCAAAAACAATTATCTTGAGAATTTCGGTCTGTTTTCAGCTCTAGCCAGAGACTGGAAGCTGCTGTGCTTGGTGAAAACCTCGTCTCTTCTGCCAGTGAAGGTTCATTCTTTGCCTTCATGTTCTTGACCTCGTCGTAGCTCTTGACAGTGCTTGTCAATCATGCCCTTTATTCAGTGAGCCAAATAGACTTTTAAAATCCTGCCAGCTACCCTGGATTTGACCTCATCCCATTCCACCCCATACCTTCACTCCCAGCTATTATTATTCCTTTTAGATGACCTTTTTTATGCCAAGATCTAGCTTCAATCTAAAAATTCAGTGATTGGCCTTCTCTCCTGAGAAGTCCATGGTCTGCTCCAGGTTTAGTCACATCTTCTGGTTCTTACCTTCCATCTTTTCCCTAGCTTTAACATGAAGGCATGTAGATGCTTTTGCCTGCATAACAGCCTCCTTTCTTTTTCTCCCATGGTGTCCTCTTTAACCTTCTAATGAGTCACTCAACTTCTGTTCTTACATGATTTTCTTCTTGTCTCTGTTCCTCTGTTAACTGTATCCCCAATGTACCAGTTTACCAGAAAGAGGGAAATCCCTCAAATACTCTCATGCTTCTTATTTAACCACTTATTTCTGTGTGTTTTATCTCTTGGTTTACTTTAAGCTTACGACTCTTGTCTGAGTTTTCTCCTTCCTTTGCATACAAATGCTCCTGTAAGACTTGGAGTGGGCACATCTTACTGTAACCTGCAGCCTGGCTCAGCATCTTGTCTTGCCTTCCTTTGCTGAGCTTGTATTTTACTTACATACATAAACTATATCAAGGACTTGACTTATTTTAATTCTATTGATAAAATAATACACAAAACTAGAAAACCTTTTCAATACACACACCAATTAATTAATAATAACTTCAGTTCTCCTCTGTTTTATTCTTGAATTCCATATTTATTATAAACATGACTCCTTTTTCTATTATTTCCTATACTTTGGCTTTATAGCTCAGAGTAAGTATCTTTCTACATTGTTGATTATTTCTTTCTATCTTGTGATAATCCAATTTCTTCTTGTGCCCACAATTATTTAATTTTCTCTCTAGGTTTTTCTGTTCTGAATTTTAAAAATTAGTTATTTAGTCTACTAAAGAATTTTTAATGTAATAATGGTTAAAACAATTAAATTGTCATTAACATGATTTCAACATGTTTTCATTACCAACTAAAATCATAGAAAACAAAGGTAAATTTATATTTGGGTTACCTAAAAATTGAGGATTTTTATATAAAGAAGTGGTTTTCTATTTTGTCTGGAATTTTCTGTTCTTATATTATTTTTTGTTTTTCTTAATCCAGTACCTGGATATTATATTGTGTCTCCCCTCCCTCTTTTTTTTACTAGCAAATTTCTTGGAATCCAGTAATAAGAACTAAGAATCTTTTGTTTTCTTGTTGGTTTGTTGTATAGTCTTTTAAAAATCATTATCTTAATTTTATTGAAATAGTTGAGATCTACTTGCAATGGCATTGCCTTCAATTGTTGTCTATTTTAGTTTTATACAGGAATCGGGTTATAGGTACTTGGAAGTTACGTGAATAAGGAACAGTTGTTCATTTTAAGTATGACATAATTCTGTGACATGTATTTTACTTATTAAAATGCCATGCTTGTTTTTGTCAATAAGGCCAATGGATTTTATTGTTAAGCCAAAGCAATTCAATCATATTTAATGAAAACTTGGGAGATGGTCTCTGTTTTAGAATGACTGCCAAAATAAGATTAATCAAAAATTGCATAAAATCAGCTCTAATCATGCATTTCTTCAAGTTTGCTAAGTAAAAACTTCCAATCATTAATTTCACTTTTACAGTGGTAGCACAGCTTGTTAAAATTTTCCTGATATGAACTACGGTTAAATTTTCAAGCATCACTGAATTAAGAGTTTCGGCAAAATCTCTCTCACTTTAGAAACTCTTAGGAATTTATAAACATTCAGGGGTGTTAAAATTACTTATTTGTGATTAGATAACATAAATTTTAATTTCAGTTGTGATTTTTTTAAATTCCCCTGTAATTGCTTTATTTACATTTTTTTCCTAATGTTTTCAAATTATTATTAGCCCAACTTAAAGACTTACTGGTCAGCTATATATGACAATTCCCTGAGTACATTTTAATATTTCCATAAATAGGAAAATGAAAATACAGTTAGCCTTACTGCCATCTTTCCCTGAATAGAGTAGCAGTTATATTACTGTGTAAAGTTAACATGTCATGGATGTAATATTCTGGAGACAGTGGTGCTTGGAAATGTTCATATTCTCCCACTAATCGTTTGTATGTGTAGTTGCATTTCATGTTATTTGTGTATTTGCATTCACCTTGTGTTTTTGGTGCTTGTTAAAAATGTTTATTCCATTTTTCAGATTCCTTTTTTCACAGGTCAGTTTCTGAATGACAAAGAGACTCCTAAGTATTGACTTCAACCAAAACTAAGCCCAAGAAGAGAGGGACTCTCCTGCCTAGGGATATTTTATAATTAGGTTAATCGTTCCTAACTGTCTTGAGATGGCTCCTGGATACTCCCTCCATAGCTTCTTTCCTCCAAGACTAAGAATTTTCTAGCTCTTTCATTTGAATGAATTATTCAGTAAAACATGGTGAAAATAGTCCAGGATGTATTTGGTTCCCAGGTCTGAAACATAAACCTGAACCCTACAGTCCTAGTAACTGGAAATTTTGGTTTTAAGAAAGCCATCAAGTTAGACATCGAGGTGTTTCTCTCCCCATTTTTAGATGGAGATGTAACAGTTAACTTTGAAAATTCAAACGGGCACATGATACCCATCGGAGAGGAATCTACCCGAGAGGAAAATGTAGTAAAATCTGAAGAAGGTAATGGCTCTGTAGCTGAAAAAGCACCACCTCTGGAGGAAAAGGCAGAAGATAAGAAAGGTAAAATCAAGAGAAACCCCATATTCTTTTACAGCTCAAAGTTGAGAAGCAGGTCTTAGGCTTCAAATAGTGACCCTAAGACCAGTAGAGAGGAGTTCTGCAAATACAAAGAGGAGAGAAACGATAACTAGCAAAGAGAAATTGGATGGTTTCCTCAGGTAGCTACATCCATTTTATAAGCACATCATTTAATGTTTTATTAAAGGGGGCTAATTAATAGTAAGAATCGGAAGGGGTGGCCTCTTCTATCATTGGAGATGTCTGGGAATGTTATCCTTTCCTCAGGAGCTTTTTCTCAGTATCTTTTTTTTTAAAATTTATTTATTTTTGGCTGCATTGGGTCTTTGTTGCTGCACGCGGGCTTTCTCTAGTTGCAGCGAGCAGGGGCTACTCTTGGTTGTGGCGCGTGGACTTCTCACTGCAGTGGCTTCTCTTGTTGCGGAGCTTGGGCTCTAGGCGTGCGGGCTTCAGTAGTTATGGCACACAGGCTCAGTAGTTGTGGCTCGCGGGCTCTAGAGCGCAGGCTCAGTAGTTGTGGCACACGGGCTTAGTTGCTCTGTGGCATGTGGGATCTTCCTGGACCAGGGCTCGAACCCGTGTCCCCTGCATTGGCAGGTGGATTCTTAACCACTGCGCCACCAGGGAAGCCCCTCAGTATCTTTAAAAAAAAAAAAAAAAAAAGCCAGGAGTCTGAACATCTTTCTCTGCTGGTTACTTTCAAATTATAGCAGCTCAGCTTGGAGGAATAGCATAACAAGATGGCTCGCTTAGCCCAGCATTATCTCTTTAGAAGTGGGAGCTTGGCTGGTGGCATCCGCACACCCAACATTGTAAGTTCTGGTCCAGGTTCAGGCATTTCTGGGAGACCCAGGAATAGTTCCCAGTAATGCCGGGGATTCTGGTTGCTGGAATGGCCATAACCTCTGCTCCATGATTTGTCTGTGCAATTGGAAATTTCAAAATATGCCAGAGGCAATTATGCCGTTCCCTGAAGGCTTCTTTAGAGACTTTGGTTTCCAAAGTGAAATACTATGGTAGATTGCAGAACTGCAAAATACTTGTCTATCAAGGACCCCCAGAACATTCACAAGTTCCTGGTCACTGATTGACTACATCTCCGTACCATTCCTATCACGGTTGCAGGAACCCCCAAGCCTCTTACTTATGCAAACCTGAACTGAAACCCCCATAAGGTAATGCTTTGTTGGGAGATTCTAGATGATTTCTTGCTGCATAGAAATGAATCCTCAGAAAACATGCTATTTTTCCATAATGCCTGCCTCTGAGCTGGATGGCATAAATTTGTCAAACCTAGTTTGGGCTCTCTAGGCATTTTGAGAACTCTTAGAAACTGCTGGAAGGAAACTTCTCTTCTCTGTTCTTGACCCAAATCCTCCAAAGGCAAAGGGAACAGAAGAACATTTGACAGACACAACTTAAAATCATCTTCTCAGGAAGTCCATAACCTCTTATTATTTGAATATAAATTAGCCTTTAAAAATTTTAGAAGCCTCTATTAATAATCTGTTGGAAATTTTTTATTTTGCTTTATTCCATATTAAGTATGGTACTCATGGGGCTTTACTTAGTGTTTCCATTGAAGGGCTCTGGTTATGCTTAAGATCATATGTTAGTTGATTTCTCATAACTGATTATGAGAAATTAACTAAAATTTTTAATGATAATATTCCTGGAACATAAGAGAAAACAGACCTGAGTAGAGTTTAAGAGGTTTCAGTTGAAATGCAGTGATTTCTCTTTTTACTTTTTTATTTTTTAGTCCAACTGTCCTGTCTCACCACATTGTTAAATTTCAAATCCATCTGTGCTCTGTCCCTGCTACAGCCTTTTCACATTCAAAATCACATCCTTCATTATGTAACAGTGCCATCTCTAGTGCTTGCCTGGTCCGTGTGGAATGTCAGTCAGTGGACTGGACGGACTTCAAAGGCCGTATTTCCCTTATCAGCCTAATAAAAAGTTGCTGACAGTTTTATGTTAATTAAACCAGCAGGCCTGATGTTCCAAAAAGATGGCAGGCTTCATAGGTTCATGGATATTTGACAGATGTTTTTGTTTTCTTATTTTTTTACTTTGGATTAGTACATTCAGTTCTTTTTGGTCAAATAAGGTCCAAGATAACATCTTGCTTGGCTGGTCTGTGCATAAGGAGATGGAAAGGGTGGACATGGTGCCCCAGCACCAGTAAGACAGAGGAGCCTCCCTCTCGCTGTGTAGACAGTGGCCCTGCTGGAGCCACACTGAGTGAGGGGAAGCATTTGGTATGGAAACCACTTCCTGACAGTAAAAAGAATGTCACTCCTGACCAACATCATGGAGTATCATGTTAAATAGAAAATATCTTATAAACAAACCATTCATTGCTCTGGAAAGACAGCATTTAATACTGAAAAAACAGCTTAAGGGTTACTCTTACCTCTGCTCCTCTTCTGATCTCACTTCTTATTTGAACTTACTACCGTGCAAATCTGCTCTCCCATGTTCTCAGTTTACCCTTTATTTTGGGGTGCAGTGTGCTCCTTCCTTTTGCATTAAGTCAACTTACCCAAGAACTTCTTTTCATATATTAACTGGTTATATTTGCAAAGCCAAATCACATACCATCCTAGATGCTTGTATCTCTTTTTGAGACAGCACGTCAGTACTTTAATATTTGAAACATCAGCGTCAAAGAAAACAAAACAAATGTCAAGTGGCCTCCCACTACTCTGGGGCAGGTTCTACCTAGGACACGTGGTGTTCTTGGGGCTCCTGAGGGCACCTGATTCTGAGTTAGGGCGGTGGTCTTGGGCCTCTTCTGCCTAACACTGGAAACATTTTCCTGAAGGCCTTCGGGCCTCTTAGTCTCCCATTATTCCTTATCAATAAATCTATATATAAGCAGAAAAACTGATCTGCAATCTGTTAAATATAGCTTGGTATTAAATATGAGAAATCTGCAAAGTATCTGATATTATTTCTGTTGAGTCACTGTAGAGGGCTTTCCATGAAGTAACAAGTATCTTACCTGCATTTGTTCCCCACGTGAGCATGAAGGGCAGCCATGGGGGCCAGGGGAAGAGCACACTGTGCATAAGAAACGGCCTTTGCCTTCAAGCAGATCGTGACCTATGTGGAGACCAGCACATACACAGGCAATTGTAATACAAGATGCAAAGTGCTCTGGGAGGCCCGAGGACAGCAAACCAGGGAGCTTGCAAGTGGGACCAAAATTGGGTCTTAAGAGGAAGATACTTCTAAACTGAGACCTGGAGGAGATAAGAAGGATGCAGTCAGACAAAGGAGAGGAATGGGGGCAAGTGCATTCTAGGCAAAGTGAAGGCCGCCTGCAGTTCTCAGATTTGCCCTAAGTGTTGTTGGACTCGACTCTCCCTGTGGTGGAAGGAGGCAAATGTGGAAGTGTAGTCACTAGCTCACCTCCAGACCATTGTTAAGAGATGTAGTATCCTCACCAAGCCAGAGTGCATAGGCAGCCCTTTCTTAACCTCCTCTTGAAAAAGTAATACTCCTCTACACCATCAGTTTATGTCTTTTCTTCAGATCATATGCTAATAGTAAAAAATACCTCTTGACGTTATTCATTATCTCCCAGATACAAGAGTTCACTTCCCACGGATGTGTGTGTGTGTGTGTGTGTGTGTGTGTGTTAGTAACTGTCAGCTGATCAGTCACATTCACTGAATAGACATAATGTTTAGAGCATCTTGCTTGATGGAATATAAAATTTCAGACAAAAGCAGTTTATAATTTAGTCAGAAAAGTATACTGTTTGCGTGCGTGTGCTCACGCGCACATACGCACGCACATATACCCGTTAGGAATCACTGCAGAGTAAACATAAACATTGGCCAAATGGCAAACACACACAGATAATTTGATAGAATTTACAGAGGAGGGAGGAGTGGACCACGCTTCTCCAGGAGTAGCCAGAAGTTTGTGTGTAGTATGTACATTCTCAACCCAGTAGGAATTGAAATTTCCAGCTGTCATAGAGTGAACCATCTCCCTCCCAAACTCAGAAGCTGGATTCTTTGGGATATAACTTTAGAATTTAAAAACCTTAGGCAGACAGAAAAAAGATCCCTCAGTAATATGCCATGAAGGCAGAGGATAAGAGATGTGAGGCTTTGTAGCAGGAGAGAGAATTAGGATACCAAGTGGTGCAGATCACTGTGACGGGCTTTCACCATGGATGGTATTATTGGTGGATCTCCATTATGCCAGGGGCTAAAGGTACAAAGATGGACTTAAAGTACAGGCCTCTAACCTAAGTCAAAAGACTAGCAAATCAATGTACATTTGTATGTTTTACATTAAAATAAAACGTTTTCAGTGACTGTCAACTTGTACTGTTCTCAACTCTGACTCTTGCAATACAGTGGCCTTGTGGTCCAGACCTGGTGGGTTAGGAGCGCCACTCCTGTATTATGGATGCTAAGCAGCTTAGTTGAAGAGACAAGATATATAAACAGAAAGGCAGACATACAAAGTAGCCTCTGAGAAATGTTGACTAAGTAGCTCAGATAACGAGTACAATTAAGTGCAGGAGTCCGCCTGGGCTGCAGTGATGGGTGGGTTGCATGACTGAGGGAAGGTAAAAGAAAAGTTTTATTCATTACATACTGAAATTTCAATCATTTTTATGATAGTTATACATGTAGAATGATGGAGATGTAAACAAAAGGGGAGGAGTCCTCACTTCACACTCACTGGGATGAGAAATGAAACAAAAGAAATAATAAAATGTGATGCATTCCAATATTAAAATCCTTTCTTGTTCATTTGATAATAGAAGAACATATACAGTAAAGGCTCAGTCTTGTCTTAACGCTGTCTTACACTTTTCGTTGTGCTCCATTTTGAAATGCTGCTTAGCTCTTTGGACCCAAAGTGTATTTTTTTTTTTTTTTTTGCGGTACGCAGGCCTCTCGCTGTTGTGGCCTCTCCCGTTGCGGAGCACAGGCTCCGGACGTGCAGGC